CACTGCTCGCCCCCTCGCTACCTGCGCTTGTGCCACTTCAACCTGCTGCTCAACCTGCTCGAAAACTTCGCCCTCCTTATTCTGACGTACGTGTCTTCATCTGAAAACTATGGTAGGTGTCTCTCCCCGTGCTCTGTGCTGACCGTCGTGCCCATGGTCTTGCTTGTAGCTGCCAAGGCTTTGCAGAGCTCTGCTTCACGAAAGTGTTTTGGAAGTAGTCAGTTTGGAGGGAAAAAACCAGTATAAAAAAAAAAAAAGTTCTATTAAAATTAGTATTTATATAGCAAAGTTATGTCCATAATGTGCAAATAGTTGTGTTCTTCCCAAAATTCTTGATTGCTGATAACTGGCTAAAACCATAGGCTGTATTTTTGTATCAAGCCTGGGATCAGACTTTAGCTCTTGGTTCCCACTTGTGCACTGAGGCCACGCCTAACACATCTCACCGCAGCTGAGCGAAGGCCGGTTAGTGCTCATCCCTGCTCTCCGCTCTGTCTCCAGTGCTCAGCTTTGGCTCTGAGCTGGCTTCCAGCCCACACTCTGTTCCAGCTGCATTTTAAACACCCTTCCACAAAATTATCTGGGTAAAATTTCCTGTGTTGACCTGAAAAGACAAAATCAGATTTTTTTGGGTTAAATCAGCGTGTGCAAAATACGATCACGATAGGGTAGGAAATGCTCTTCTCCCACATGGTCTCATCTGAAATGAATTCCAGTCCCAGTGATGGTGTCCAGCCGCTGTTTAATGCTGAGATCTGGAGGAGGCACTAGGGATGGACTTGAGGGGACTCAGATCCATGAGCTGGCAAGGTGGTGGTGTTGCAGCAGAAACAAACCCAGTTCTGGGACTTGTCAGCAGGGGAGTCGTGTGTTGGCTGTCCCTGCACACAGTTTGGTGATGATGATGATGGATATTGTGTCCGGCTGTGGGACCACACTGGAGGATGTAGTCACAAAGTCTCGCAAAGAGAGGCCAGGCCAGAGCTCCAAGAAGAGAGGGTTTGGAGCAGTGCTGGTAAGGGGAGATTGACAGAAGAGGGTTTGTCTGCTCACAGCAAGGGAGATGAGATGAGGAGGCA